TTTTGTAAAAACATAACAATTGTAAAGCAAGTTTCAGCTATTTCAAATCATTATTAAATACAAAAAATGTGAATTAAGAAAATGCATTGCATACTAGTAGTGGTGGTTAGAATAATTAGTTCAGCAATGATGAATCAGCTTCACCAGATGAAGGCTTCGTAATTCAAATTATCAGTAAAAACCAAGGAATATAGTGCTCATACAATATCAGTACATATGAAGAAAAACAAATAAATGAAAACTATTTGTGTTTGCAAAATTTATTTGAATTTGATGTTCATGAATTCAAAAGAAATATACAATTATACCAACTAAAAATGTGAAGTCCAAAAACAAAGAAAAATCATAGATTTTCACATCGAATAGCACTTCTATAATTATCATTTACAGAACCAAATAGCAATACCTTATAATTACAAAAACAAAAATTCTTGAAGAACGAAAAAGTATGAACTTATTATTTTAAATGACTATTACTATGTATGGAGAGAACAGGAAAACGATTTATCAGAAAACATAATATATATATTTTTTTTTTTTTACGCAATCTTTTGAATTAGTATTATCGCTATTGTTATTTCTACATGATGTAACCTAAAATGACACATTATCTAATCTTTTAATATTATATTTGTCACTATACATACTTATATACTATCGCACTGTTATTTTTTTTTTTTGTATTCTATAATATTTTATTTTAATCTATCATTCAAATGCAATTGCTCATGTTATTAACTTTTAAATATTTATATTATCTACGAATATTTAATATTCATATAATAATCATTATATATCATAAATACTAAATTTATTAATCAACTTTTATTATACAATTATTCTTATTATATTTTATCAATTTTTTGCCTATGTTAAACAATAGTTATGAGGGCACAACACTCATAAAAAAATTAGGGCGAATGTCGTAATATGACTAATGCTTTGCATTGCGCATCTTACATTTATCAATGAAAAATTTATAATCAGTATTTTATATTGGTTTTCATTTTTATTTATAAAATTTTTTTAATACAAATTTTATAAATATATGTCTGTATTTGGTAAAATGATTTAGAATTATATTTACTTATTTAAAAATGTTTAAATTTAATTGATCTAATAATTGATATATCTTATACTCAAATTAAAGAACATTAAAGTAATAAAAAAGTAACGAATTGTAGATTTATTCATATATTACACTTATTAATCGTAAAACTTGTAATCAGGATATAGATTAGGAAATAGGAGATCATGTAGCTTTTGGAATAATCCACCAATTTTTTTAAATTAAACACTATCTATAGATATGCATCGAAGCGTTTTTTATGATAGTGATTTTAATCAATGCCAGATAACATTATACTTGACCCCACTATGTCACATCCCCACTGTGCTGGGATTTATTTTTAAGTTTTATTTATAGAATATTACAATGGATTCAAACCTTTAATCGAAGCAATTATAATAATTTGAAAAATATTTTTCATCGAGATATTTCACAGTGTATTATAAGTTATGGTAGAGTTCGTCCTATAAAAATGCTTCCCTGCAAACCTCTGTCAACAATAAAGCTGGGGAAGATATGATTTTTTCTAAGTCATTTTTACAATATTATATAGTCAAAACATTAAACTTAGTACTTATTACACAATGTGCGGTGAAAACACCTTCACTATCATAGCACTCCAAAAAAATTAACCACCCTGGCTTTTCCTAAATATGGACATATTTTTGGTTTATATAAAATAAATCAAAACATAATCATAAAATTAGTAAATATACAAACAATATTATAAAAATAACAAAGTTCTATTAAAACTTTTTAAGTTTTCAATGCATAGATTTCTACCTAGATTATGATTATCTAATGATTATTTTTTAATTATGTTTAATGTCTTTTTAAAAGTTATTGCTAGTGCAGAGAGAAAGAGAAAACCTACATAGCTCAGCGCAACAAAATCGAACCTCAATTAACGTTTTGAGGCGCGATGTGTTACTGACTGATTATGAAAATAATTTCAAAATATATCTCACAAAATAACTGATAAAAATGACTCAGATTTTGATGAAGCAAAACAAAAAAATTATAGTTTTTAATTAATTTTAAAACGATACTGTGAATTATAAAACAAAACATATTGATTTGATATAGCATAGTGAAAAAGTTATTTTATTTCCTTATAATATTTTTACAACTATTATAGTTACTGTAAGATTTATTAAATGCATTGCATGCTTATTTTCTATTTATTTATTTTTAACTAGCTGTGATATAAAAATAGGTCTTTTAATAAGTTTTTTTGACTATCCAATACTATACCTTAGAAATAGATTACCAACCTATTATATGTCATTCATACACGTCCGAAATGAAATTTTGAGATATCCATCTGGTTTATTTTATCGCTTTGGCAATGACTGTGGAGGTCAACCTTTAAATGCCGGACCCGTTGCCGGGACTTAACAATAATAGACATGTATGACCGACAATGTACTCTAGGGATTTCAATGAAATTCTCGACCTTTATTTATTTCATTTCATAACGTTTTTTTTTTTGCAACGATAATTTTTATTTTTGAACATTTTACTTAAGCAATATTGAGTATCAGCCAAAATTAATGTTAGAAATACAAAAAAATCATATTCTATACTATTTAATTTATTGAAATATAGCATTCATAATGTGTAAATCTCTTACAGCGGAGTTAAGCTTTTGTTTTTTTTTTTTATTGTTATCATTTTAATATTTTACAAACAAGACTTTAGAGATAATTTGATAGACTGAGTTTACGGTAAATATTCAAAGTCTATATCATAAACAACAATAATGAATACACAACCAACTACTGGTACATTCGCTTGAAAAATGTATTTGGTTTACACAAACAGGAAATTTTCACGGGCCTAACAAAGGAAACTCTAAAAGTTTTCATATAAAAATGGCTAACCGTGTGATTAAAATGTTTGAAACGTCGAAAGCCTTCAAGTCAAACGGAAAAGTGAATTCCTATTTTCATATTCATAAATCGAATAAAGAATTTATTATTCTAATAAAGGTATACATTATTTTATTATATAAACACATAACGTAGCCACTGTAAAAAGGTCGAGGTTGGAAACATCTCCGTTAAAGTAAAGAGAATATTTAATAGAAAAAACCCGTGTAAAATAACTGCCAAGTTTCAACAAAAGAATTCTTCTTTGGACCATCTTCAGTCTTACATTTAACAAAAGATTTTGTACAATAATGCCCTCTATAATTTTTAAACTTATGGTTATGATTTTTAAATATTATAATTATAAAAAGTATATTTAGTTTATAAAAACTAACGAAAAAATTGTTTTTATTAAATCAATTTGTATGATGAATTAGGCATACAAATTTGGCTTCTAGTGTTTCTGTCAATGTGTAAAGTTACTAGTTCAATCTATTTCTGACTTATTCGATAGAATTTGTTCACCACGTTTATAGTTAAGATATATTTAATTAAAAAATACAACCTCACATCTCCTTATATTCATGTCGTTTCTTTATTACACTTAAAGATAGGATAAATTTTCTTTGTACATAAAACCTTACCGACAAAACTTAAATAAAGCCACTGATATCTATAATCATCAACAAAATTTATGATAAAATCTTATTTAATTTATTTATTTTTTTACTGAACTACTTATCACGAAAATATTTTTTGAAATTATTTAATAATTATATTAAACAAATAAATTATTTATAACATTAAATTGTAATTATGGAAAGTAGTTATCTGTTATATAAATTTATATGGGACTAACTACATACAAGCAAGAGACCTTATGAAAAAGTACACATTAATTGTATAAGATATTTTAATAAAAACTATTGATATTGTGGCTGTTAGGACCAGAACCTGAACCAAAAAAATTATTGACAGACTATTTGCTTAAAACGTTCGTTTGTAGGTTTTAAAATTGCATATAAATAGTTTTAGGATATAATGTTAATGACTAAGATTTAAACGTTATCAACAAAATAATCAGAGAACATTAATATAATTTTTTTTTCATTGAATAAGAATTAATTTTGACTACATTTTTCAGGCTATTATAAATTGGCTACTCAGGCTGAATGAGCTTACTAGAAGAGTGGTTCTATTAAAAAGAGTGGATTGATCGACCTCAGTTTTCGTTAAAATTTAAAATGGGGAAAATTTCCAAGCTGCCATTCCTTAAGACGGCAGTGTTCTACACTATAAAATAGGAATAAATTGAAAATTGTATATGTATTGAGGAACCCTAAGAAATAACCCTAAAATTAAAATAGCTATTGTTTATTTTTTTCTTAGCATATTAATTAATAACACAAAATTTCGTCTGTTATTACCAATAAAATAATATACGTTTATTCATACTTATAATAAAAAATGGTTCTATTGATCGTCAATTTTTTATTTTTATTAATCTTTCAATAAACTAAAGAATACAATGAAATCATTCATAAAAAAATTACAATGGAAGATTTTTATACAAAATATTTGATTGATAAAGAAATTTCAAAATATTGAAATAGATTAAACTTAAAAGGAATGTATTAAAAATTAATTTCATTAAGTTATGTAATTAACTTAAGTAACACTTCGAACACTAAATGCCGTGTTCAATCAAATAAAAGTAGAAAAAGATAACTATAATAATTTTTTCAGCCTTAATTTTATTTTTAGTATGTATAAATAAAAAAAAACTTTTATCATACATCAAATTTTTGGGGCGCACCTTACTATCCATAACGCTAAAAATGATGTATTATTTCAAAGTATTAACGTATTTATTTTAAAAAGTTTATGGCTAATTTTACTTTAAAAATTTAACTAAAAAAGATTCATGAAGATTAATAAGTATAACGATAAATAGTTCTTGGTACAGTTTCCTTTAATAACTCAAAATAAACTCTCTTTTCGTTTTTTTAAGTCTTAAACGGTGAAAAATTAAAATTAATTATCCATAAATCTAAACTTACTGCCATATCTCATTATCATTTAAAACATTGGTAACACTAAAATTATTCATTAAAAGATAACAATATCACTTAAATAAAACTACGCGATCAATCATTATTTGTTTTAAAAATATTTCCAAAACAGTATCCGACAAGTACAATTACTCGCGAAACGTAAAAATCTTTACACTGGAGACAATATAGTACTTCCACCACTAGCGACTAACCCGCAGCAAATTTAATGGCACACTAGATTCTCAAAAGTTTTTGCCGTTTTCCCTTAGTTTCTGCAGCGCTGTCTGTACGACATCCCAAGGTATCACAAACACAGACACATTAACGCGTGCTAACCATTGAAAGTACAAATGTAACAAATAACAATAGTCATATAAAAATTAAAAAATTAAGTAAAGTCGTGATTTTTCATTATTTGTCAACTGAATTTCTCTTTTTATTGAAACTACTCAATGAGTTAACAATGAAACAATAAAACCATGATAAAATAGCAATTTATTAAAAATGATTAGTGGAATTCAACATTATTTCCAAGAAATTAAAAATGTAAAACATAAAAAGTCAATGTTTGTCTTATTCAGTATTTAATTCCTTAAAGTAACTGTAGTCCATACTAAATTGAATCAGGTACCAGGTTTCATATCAAAACAATACCTGTTAAGTTAATCAAAATTACTTTAGGGCACCATTTTGCAAATTCACCGAATAAATGCATTTCTAATAAAAGAACACTAATTTATTTAAATGTGTTTTTCATTTTTAATAATTTTTTAACATATTTTTTGAAGAAAAAAAACTTAATTTTTATAATGATTTAAATAAAGTTATTAAATAAATTTACAGTTAATGTGTATACCATATCGCAATTGTTAATAATTTTCAGACTAAGATAATTTGTTCACGAATATGCATGTTCTCCAACAATTAACAATCGAAATAATTATAATTATTAAATATAGTCTATATGTACATAAAACAGAGAAAAACTAAAATGCATGAAGCATTAATAACACTGCGATATTTCATTATAGTCATAATTATGTCAAATAAATGTAACATGTGTTGCATATAAATTAGAATAAAACATTTCTTGATCATTTTAATTTTAACAAGGTAAATAAGAGTGCTATCATTAGTGCTTAACTAAAACAATATTTAAGACTAAATTCAAACGATGTTTATAACAAAATATTTTTAAGTACAACGTGTATTATGAGTTTACGTTTTCTATGTTTTTTTTTTTTTGTACGACTTTTACAAAATTCATATAGAAGATTAATTTAACACAAAAATACACATTTAGCTACTTATATTGAAATTTATTTCATTTCTCATATGTTTTTTTTTATATTTTTTTATAATTTTCTTCTAAAAACATTTTGTTGCCATCGATACCATTATCTTTAAATAATAAACATTTATTTTGAGATTGTAAATTTAATATACTTTAATAATATTTTTTTATATTATAGTAATATTTAAACTATTGAGTATTTATCTTTAGTATCATGTTTTGTTTAGCTAAAATGTCACAAAAATAATTTATTAGACTTAATTCGAGTGTAGCATTGATAAAATGTTACACTTTTAGTTCGATCAATTATCGATAGTTAATTGAATTCGATATATTTCTTTTAATGAGTATATTAATCACATCAATTTTATGGTTTGGGTTGATTGTCATTTGTCAAAATCAATCGGTCAAACTTAACAGTAGATTCCACAGGATTGCAAATGGAATATTTTTCAATCCAAATAGCTATCCTTTCGTTGTTGGTCTGAAAATTGTTTTATCCGACAAAAAAGTTGATTACTGTACTGGTACCTTATTATCACCATTATATGTATTAACAGCTGCTCATTGTATATCAACTTTCAAATCTGTAGAGGTAAAATTTATTATTAGTAAATTATGATTAAGGGAATAAAACATTTCACTAGTGTTTTGTAGTTTGCTTAATTTATTTTATAACTTTTACTGTTTTATCAATAATAATTTTTTTTAGAAAGATTAAAATTTTTAAATTTACATAATAGGTATTTCGGAGTGGTCCAAAAATAAATTTTGAAAATATTAGAACAGTGGTAGAATTCACCAAACATCCAAATTACAATGAATTTTCAATGATAGCTGATTTGTGTTTAATGAAAGTAAAAAATTATTGATATAGACAAAAATATATTTTTAGTTTCAATGCACAGCTCACAAGATATTGTTTTAACTATTATGTGCTATATGTGTCTGTCCATGTAAATTCTCAATTATCACTAGAACGAATTTATTGGAAATTCAACCTCAATTTTAAAAAATTAGAAAAATATCTGAGAATTATGCTATTGTAAAAAATTATTTTCAAATAATATTTTGTATTTTAAATCTGCTATAATTTTTTTTATAAACGCTGATTTTAATAAAGTATACTAGATGCAATAAGTTTTCGTATAGTATGCTTTTGGTAAATATAAAATTAAAAACCTAAGTACAGGAAGGGTTTGAAAAATACCCATGCATGTAAAAAAAACATAGCATAGTTGGATCAAGTATAAATTTTTTGTGAAAAAGTTGTCATTTTAAATCCCCCCTTGTGGGCAAATAAAGGGTCAGATTTATAAAAAAAATATACCAAATGATAGGTAAAGACATCAAGCATTTATAAAAAAAAAAAACCCAGCACAGGGGGTCGCGGCACAGTGGTGACGTGGCATAGTTGGATCAAGTATTATGATATCTGACAGTGATTAAAATCACTATAAAAAAAAAACGCTTCGATGCAAATTTTTAGATAGTGTTTAATTTTAAAAAATTGGTGTATTATTCCAAAAGATACATGATCTGCTAGTTCCTTATTAATATCTTGATTAAGATAAAGTATGTCAAATGAAAAAGGGATTATTAAAAAATATTATTTCTCATAAAAAAATTGTATTGATCCTTACACATTTCAATAAGTTATAGCATTATAAAGTAAAAAATGTAAATTATGAAATCAAGAATTTTCACACAAAAATAGCATTCGGTAGCAATTTTCACCATGAAGACAAGTCTAGAGGTCAAATTTTTTTTTTTCCATAATAAAGTACATTACATTGGCTGTAATTTAAAATATATATAAAAGTGTCAGACCTTCCGGAAACATTTTCAAAAGTTAAGTTGAAAAAGTTAATTTTTTATGAAAAAGTTGTCATTTTAAATCCCCCCCTGTGGGCAGATAAAGGGTCAGATTTACAAAAAAAATATACCAAATGATAAGTAAAGATATCAAACATCTATAAAAAACAAAAATTACTAATCTATACATTTTTCAAAAAGTTATAGCATTATTAAGTTAAAAATATAAAAAAGAATTATTTTACAAAAATCGTAATTTTTTATTAACTTTGATGTCTATTTTCACCACGAAGGCAAGTCCAGAGGTCAAATTTTTTTTTCATAATAAAGTATATTACATTACCTTTTATTTAAGATATATATAAAAGTGTCAGACCATCCGGAACACTTTCAAAAGTTAAGTTGAAAAAGTTAATTTTTTGTGAAAAAGTTGTTATTTTAAATCCCCCCTGTGACCAGATAAAGGGTCAAATTTACAAAAGAAATATATCAAATGATAGGTAAAAACATTATGCATTCATAAAAAAAAAATTATACTAATATGTTAATTTTTGAAAAAGTTACGGCAGTTTTTAGTAAAAAAAATTTCGAAAATTAGCGATTTTTAAATTTGTAATTTTTTTAGAGGTTTCCCCCATTTTTGCAATTTTTGAGGGTAATGTTTTCGACTAGATACGATTTGTGATCTTTTGACGTATCATTGAAAGAAATCGGTTCGATGAGAGCTGAGAAAAAGTGGTGACAGACACAAAAAAATAAATAAATAAAAAAAAAACACATAATAGTACAACTAATACCTTCTCAGATTCGCTTCGAAGCTAAAATGTATTAATTCCACTTAACTGAATATGTACTGTACTTTTCTTCTTTATTATATATTAACTCATTTATTCATTAAACACATATACTGATATTCATATTAGATAAATTATTGTAAATATATATATCAAAGAACATTAAAATATTTTATTTATTGAAGTATAATATCTTAAAAAATAAAAGATTTATCTAGCTAATAATATATTTTTTTTATTAATAACATAATACTTAATTAACAATGACTTTTATGTATCACAACTTAACATTATAGTATAGTCAATTTTTTTTTGTTAAATTAGTCATTATACAATAATGACAATATTGTTTTTTCTGCGTAGATGAACAGACCATTTGAAAATATAAACAATTATGCTAAGTTATCTCAAAATTTTAAAGTAATTCCTAACCGAAAATCTTTAGATTGTGTTATATTAGGAATAGGTAAACAAACTGTTGGCTTCCCTAAAAAAGGAGCTCAGCTGGCTATGGTAAAAGTTAACTATGGACCAAATGCTTGTCTACTTCCATCCGATAAGTATACTATTTTTATTTTAGTAAAAAAATTGTAATAAGTTTACATTTTTATGTTTAAATATTATAGCACCATTGTATCAAATGCCATTAAGGAATCGTGGAAATTTTTCTTATGTCCAGAACCCAATAGTAGTATGGCTTGTGTTGGTGATAGTGGGGGAGCATTGATTTGCCAAGATTTTCTTCTTGGAGTAACAAGTCATGCTTATTACTATTTACCAGGTATGTCTCATCAAGAAATGAACTGTGGTGATTCGCGTGTTCAAACCAGATATGTGTTTGTAAATAAATATCTAAAATGGATTCAAAATATTGCTCTGAATGAAGCGCCAAATTTAAAATATAATTCAATAATTTTAATTTTATTTTTAAAAATAATAAGTTTCTTAAAATAATAAAACGCATTTTAATGTAAACAATAAGTGGCAGATATTTTGCTGTAGGTAATATTATCAATTTTACCTGGTGATTACAAATAAAAATATATTTATATTAAACAAATGTGGAATTTTCCCAAAATATATTATTGAAATATGTATTAAATAAGTTTTTAAAATATTGGAAAAGGCATTTTTAATTATTATTATTAAAATTTGTGATAGGTTAACATCATTTAAATTTAGCAATTTAATCGCACTGATTTACCTATATAAAATGGGTGATTGATATAATCATCTTTCTATATTGGCTGTGTAAATTTTTATGGGTATTCATTCTATATTTATATTCTGTGATATGACTCTTTATTAAGGAAATGATACACCTCTGTCATGTAACAGGAAAAATAAGTATGGCTAAGATATACTATGGAGGGAGTAGCAAAAATTTATCTTATGTATAATCCCTCTGTGCATAAAAATGTTGGATTTGTTGTTATTAAGTTTTATTGGTGTCACATTACGGGTGGGTAGGTGCACACTTTAAAAAGTACAAGTAAACATACATTAAAATGTATGTTAAATGTCGCATTTCCTAATAGATGCTATAATTATCTTTTTACATATTACTTTAAAAAATAGTAATTTATTATTACTAAATACTTATATTTTAGATATTAAAAGTTACATTTCATTACACAATCATTATAACTGTTTATTTTTGCTGATCTCTATTTTTATAATAAAATTTCAATAATTTTAAACTTAAAATTTTTAAAATTGTAATAAGAAAATCATAAAACAACTTCATAAGATGAAACAAATAAAAGTTTTAATTAATACAAATAAGTAACACAAAAACATTTTGCTAGAGACCTTCTCTCCTACTTTCCATTATAAGCTTACCTGCTTATAATGGAAAGAAAAACTATTTATTTTATAACTTTTACTCAGAATTATTTTCTTATATTATTAAAACATTTATTTTTAAAGTCGAGTTTTAAAAATTAATAAGTAATAAATTTCAAATGTATCGTTAAATTATAAGTAAAATGTATCAAAAAAATTATAAATCATTTACCATTTATTTAAATATATTAATAGTATATTTATGTAGAGTTAAAGTCTTAACTCTTTCACTCAAACAAAGAATTTCCAGTGAATAATAATTTATTATTCATACTAAATGTTATCAACTTGAATAAATGATTTCCCATAACAAACTGTTGGGAAACAAGAATACATCCTCAACCCAAAAAAATTGAGGTAGTTAGCAAATACAAATCATATGTTATAAAAAAACCAACCACTTTTTCTAATTATATAAAAAAGTTTCAATTGTTTAACGAATAGACAATACCTCATTGTACAAGAGAAGCTTCTAGATCTTCTTTTGCAATGACTTAAATTAGAAATACTTATTTGATTATACACTCATTAAATTTAGTGACCAGTTCAATAATTAAAAAACACAATTAATTTTAACAAAAATAATTTGTCTTTAAAAAAGTTTTTAATCATGCTACAATTATTTTCTAAAATAAATTGAATACTTCAAAAATTAAGTTTATTTCTTTGGTACATTTTTTTTAAGATTTTAAATCTGCATCAAAGAAAAATGTCATGTCATTTGGCAATCTACTCATTTTCTCAAAAACTATTGAGAATTTTTAATTTTTATAAAGAGAAAATTATTGGATTCAATAAACTGCATAATATTTAGTTAAATCATTTTTTTTAACCATTCAGAGACAAAATTCTAAACTATAATTTTCATAGATCAGAACCTCTATTTTTAATTTGATTATACGATAGACAGATAAATACAACATTTTTTAGCTTCGATGCAACGCTGAAAAGGTATTAATTTTACTATCATGTGTTTTTATTTATTTTTTTTTTTTGTCTATGAAGGCTCAATCTCAACTCTCGCTGGAACGATTTTGATAAACAATACGTCAAAAGATCACAAATCGTATCTAGTCGAAGACATTACCCTAGACAATTGAAAAAAATTCCCTCGTTCCCCGTAAACGGGGAAAATCCTCCAAAAAATTACAAATTTAAAAATCGCTAATTTTCGACATTTTTTCAATTTTTTTTACTTAAAATTGCCATAACTTTATTAGAAATGACCGAATCAATTAAATTTTTTTTATAGATACCTTAGGTATTTAGCTATCATTTAATATATTTTGTGAACATTTGACCCTTTACCAGCCCACAGGAAAGGTTTCGAAATGGTAAGTTTTTCACAAAAAATTCACTTTTTCAATTTAACTTTTGAAAATGTTCCGGAAAGACTGACATTTTTATATATACTTGAAATTAAAGCTTTTGTAATATACTTTAATTTGAAAAAAAAAATTGACCTATAGACTTGTTTTCGTGGTGAAAATGACTACCGTATACAAAAATATACAATTTTTGTGAAAAATTTCTTGATATTATAATTTACATTTTATAACATTATGTTTCTATAACTTTTTAAAAAATGATTCAATTCTATTCTTTAATGATAAATACTTTATATATACCTCTTTCATTCGACATACTTTATTTTTAAATCGGATCATTTCCTTTTATATAGGGGGGGTTCATTGAATGTTAGGTTCAGGCTTGTATTTGAGATTTTTGCGTAGGGTATTAATATTATTGAACACAATAAAATAATTTTTTGTTCCATCTCTATCAAATGAGACATTCTACCCTAAAATGTTTGCCCCCCTTAACCCCTCTAAATATGGTTTGTCGTTTTTAATAATTACTTATTTTATCACATAGGCATAATTTTATAAAGAAAATATGACGTATTACCTAAGGTAAATTAATTATAATAGATAACTATCTTTAGTATGTATACAGAGTGATCAAAATCTAGTAAGACCTCATTTTCTCAGAAAATATTGAGAATTTTTATTTTTATTATAGAGAAAAAATATCAAATTCAAAAAACTCTACAATAATATGTAGTCAATATATATATATTTGTAATAAATAATAAAAATATAGTTTATAAGAAAATAAAAAGACATCAAAACATTGAAACAAAATTCAAATATTAATAATAAGCTTAAAAATTTTCTAATACGTGTAATAATATAATAAAAATAGATCTATGATCTATACATTTTTCGATAGTTGTTGAAAACTAATTTCACAAATTCAAATGGGCTAATTTCATTGTTATTAAATTTATCAATTGTCTTTTTTGTTTTTCTAAAACAGATTTCAATTTTAATCCATACGCTTTTTGATTTTAATGTAATTATAAGACTAAATATTTTCTATTAAAATTTTTAAAAATATATTAATAGAAGAATGCGTCTTAAAAAATTGTTTATTAAAATGTGAATGAAATGATTCTAAATTATCAATGCACTGCAATCTAATAACAATAAAAAAATAGTAAAAAGTTATCGGGTTATTTTAGTAAATATTTTAACCAGTGAACCACTGGTTCACAAGCTTATATTTATAGACAGGTATAAACTATCGGTTCGACGGAAACGAAAAAACTACCTTAATCAGATTTGGCGGAAACGATACGGTCAATTTTGACGGAAACGATGAACGCCCATTATGACGTTAAAGTGATTTTATATCAAAATTAAAAATTTAAGGATTTTTTAAAAATTTGGTTTTCAAGTTATAATTAATCATTGATTTGATATTACAATACCGGTGACAATAATGATCTATTTCAATAACATAATATTGTTATCTCTCTTTTAGCATGAGGTAAATTTTTGTTGCTACCGTATTTGTCATATCTTAGTTGATAAAAATTGGTTTATGTGTCAGTATAAAATAATAAAGACTTCTATATTTAAGACAGAGTAATAACAACAGCATTTTGATATAAAATCACTTTACCATGTGGTATCAGATGAACGGTTTATCGGTAATATTATTATTTTTTAAATATGAACATGAAGTCTGAAGACTCAAACTACCTCGGACTACCTGACAACGAAATACCTAATTAATGATTAGTTCAAAGATAAAACAGTAAACCTTATAATAAAGGTAATTACTTAACCCAAATGAAATGTGTAATTGAAAAAGTAAATGTTTAAGATAATACTCGTATTTCTACTAACTATCATACTTAATGTGTTTACAAACTTATATTACTTTTTTACACAATAATACAATCATTGCATTTATGTAAAATTTTCTCATAGAATTTTTCAGTAGTTACAATACCAATATTCGCAAAAATGTATTTTTGCTACAATGTTATACGAGAAAACGTGAGAAAATTAATCGGGTAAGGCTACTTGGTCCCCTGAGATAGTTTTTAGGTGAAGCTCTTCAAGGTTAGTCTATTTACTTACCCCATTTATGTATATACATATAAATAGATAGATGTGAAGGTATATTACAAACAACTAAAAAATGTATGGACTCGGAATATAATCATTTCTTTTTGTGCTCCTCAATACCATCTCTGGGCTCGATTGCATATTGTATAATACAACGATTTACCTTTTATAATACAATGAGGAAAACTCTACCAAAGATAAATATTACCTTTGTTACTATTTTTTTCTTAAAAAATGTAATATGTATAGATAACTATAGTCATCAACTAAGACAATAGAATTAAATAGCTATCTTAAAACAACTATTGTCTTAAAAGTAAAATTAATAAAGTAATTTATTGTATTTATTAAATTATCGAACTCTATTATGTACAAGTACGTGTTCAAAACCATTTTATATGAACACCGTACCGCTAAAAATATTTTGTGAAAAACAGAATCAAATTACAAAATAATTTTTACAACGTGGATTTTAAATTTAATTATTATAAATAAAATATGCAACATATGACTAAACTAATAAGAGTTTTAAATAAAACTGATAAAATGACAGTTAATTTTTTTTTCAACTAAATTTTCATTTGTTTTATTAATATTTCATGTTTACAAAAATAATGGAATTCTGTTACTTAACCTTTTTTAACATAAATTAAATGTTAATTAATTGTTTTTTGAGCATAAATTTTAAACTAATTTTAGGTTGTATCAAATTTGTAC